CGCCGGCGAGCTCCGCAGCTCCGGCCACCGGTGCACGCCGCCCCAGCCACCAGCGCCCGTGGCCACCCCACCGACGCCCGCGGCCACCACCACCCTCTCCGGCGTCCTCCTCCGACTACGGCGAGCTCCGGCCACCACCACCATCTCCGGCGACCTCCGGTGAACAGTAACTCCGGAGAACCTCGGGATCCGCGCCGGCTGGATCTAGATCTGGATCTGAGACGGTTGACTTTTCTGTCCGAGACCCTAATTTTTTGCTACTGTTCATCATGTCGTAACTTTGCATCCGTAACTCCGTTTTGGGCATATAGGATATCAAAATGTTCGTCTCAGAGAGTACATCATTTCATCTCATTGCATCATTTTCATTTGAGTTCATCCTAATTTCCAAAATGATATTAGAAGAAGGCTATTGGAGATAATTGTCAGATCTGCTGCTCCAATTAGATATTTGTCATTTTTGCCATGGTTAATGTGTGCATGCCATGCCCCTGAGCTCTACATGTGTTTTGTTATATGTTTTGCCATCTATCCAGAGGTGCAACCCAGGTATTTTTTTGATGTGTGTGGTGACTAGCACAAGTTTGCAAAGTGGAGCATTCGTTAATGCTGATTTCAGGGACTTAGCATTTCCACTAAGTCCTTGGCGTGTATATCTCATATTGCCATATGTTCATGTTGTTTGCTAGTGATCCGTGCCTCTTTTGAGGATGATCAGTAAGGATGTTTTGTTAATCTTGTGGTGCTCTATCCATCCATGTCTTTGTTTGCAATTATGGAGCACCCTAGCTTGAGTCAATCGAGCTCTACTTTTGTCATTTCGTGAATCTGGGCAGATTGTCTACTTGTTAGCGATTTTGCCGATGATGTTGTAGTTGATCCGTGCATGCTATGGTATTGTTCTTGCCATGTCTAGCTTGTATTTTGTGTATTCTTGACGGGTGTATGCTTAGATTGCCATGACTTGCTCTGTAGTGAGTGCATCGAGCTCGTAAACATGCCTACTTGATATCTGTTTTAGTATGCTCCAGTTTTCACTAAGTCTGAGAACTGATTATGTTTTTGCCATGTTCACATGCTTGCAAATGTATTTTCTAATCCCTTTTGGCTCAAGGTCACTAAGGGACTTTTGTTAAGCTCTTTGAGTAGCTCCATGTCATGCTTTACTTTGCCATGTTCAGGTCCTGTAGCATATTGTTTTCATGCCCCAAAGAGTGCTATCTGATCTGAAATTCCAGACAAGTGTTAATTTCACTAAGTCTGAAATCGGTTTGTCAAATGCATTTTTGCCATGCTTGTCTGAACCTGTTAATGAATGAATTGGCCATAGCTCAGTGCTAGACTTTTGTTAAGCTTCATGAATGGATTCCTGCCATATATTTTGATGCCATGTTTGGGTGCTGTAGCATGTTCATCTTGTTGCATTTAGATGGCTACTTGCTGTAAATCGCAGAACGTGGTCATATTTGAATTGCTTGCCATTTCCAAACCGTAACTCCGATTCCGGCGTTCTTTATATCGTTTTCAAGCGATTTCATCTCATCTTTCGAGTGACACACTTGGATTTCCAAATTGAGGCCAGGTTCATTCATACCTTGCTAAATCTTGCATATGCATTTCGTATCGCATCCCGCATAGCATACCATCCTTGCATCATATTGTTTGAGCTTTGCACGTGGTTGATTGTGTTCCGTTTGCTTGTTTGTCTTGTTTGGCTAGAGCCGGGAGACGAGATCGCTAACGAGGAGCCCGTTGAGTTTGCTTTCGAGGATCCAGTCAACTCTGACAACTTTGCAGGCAAGATGATCATACCCTCGAAATCACTACTATCTTTGCTTTGCTAGATGCTCGCTCTTTTGCTATGCCTATGCTACGATGCCTACCACTTTCTTATCATGCCTCCCAAATTGCCATGCCAAACCTCTAACCCACCATGTCCTAGCAAACTGTCGATTGGCTACGTTTCCGCTTTGCTCAGCCCCTCTTATAGCGTTGCTAGTTGCAGGTGAAGATTGGAGACCGTTCCTTGTTGGAACATTATTTTAATTGTTGGGATATCATTATATTACCATGTTATCCTAATGCATCTATATACTTGGTAAAGGGTGGAAATCTTGGGCTCTCGCCTAGTGTTTTGTTCCACTCTTGCCGCCCTAGTTTCCGTCATATCGGTGTTATGTTCCCGGATTTTGCGTTCCTTACGCGGTTGGGTTATAATGGGAACCCCTTGATAGTTCGCCTTGATTAAAGCTTTTCCAGCAATGCCCAACCTTGGTTTTATCATTTGCCACCTAGCCTCTTTTTCCCTTGGGTTTCCGGAGCCCGAGGGTCATCTTATTTAAACCCCCCCGGGCCAGTGCTCCTCCGAGTGTTGGTCCACCTCGTCAGCCGCCGGTGGCCACCAGGGGCAACTCTGGGCTGGCCTACCGGAAGTTTGGACAATCTGAGTGTGCCCTGAGAACGAGATATGTGCAGCTCCTATCGGGATTTGTCGGCACGTTCGGGCGGTGTTGCTGGATTGGTTTTAACTTGTCGAAGTGTCTTGAAGAACCGGGATACCGAGTCTGATCGGAACGTCCCGGGAGGAGGTCTATTCCTTCGTTGACCGTGAGAGCTTGTCATGGGCTAAGTTGGGACTCCCCTGCAGGGATTTGAACTTTCGAAAGCCGTGCCCGCGGTTATGGGCAGATGGGAATTTGTTAATGTCCAGTTGTAGATAACTTGAACCTTAACTTAATAAAAATGAATCAACAGTGTGAGTTACCGTGATGGTCTCTTCTCGGCGGAGTCCAGAAAGTGAACACGGTGTTGGAGTAATGCTTGCCGCAGGTTGCCCTCTAGTTACTCGTTCGCGCTTTGCCTCCTCTTCTCGCTCTCTTTTGCGAACAGGATAGCTACTATATATGCTAGTCGCTTGCTGCAGCTCCACATATTTTCCTTGCCTTACCTATTAAGCTTAAATAGTCTTGATCGTGAGGGTGCGAGATTGCTGAGTCTCTGTGGCTCACAGATTATTTCCAAACCAGATGCAAGGCCTGATGATTCCGCTCCAGATGGCGCGCTTGAGCTCAAGTGGGAGTTCGATGAGGACTCTCAACGATACTACGTGTCTTTCCCTGATGATCAGTAGTGGTGCCCAGTTGGGGTGATCGGGACCGTGTCGCATGTTGGGTTATCTTTTATTTTGGCGCCGTAGTCGGGCCATGAGTGTTTGAATGTTGTAATGTTATTTATGCACTTTGATTGACGTGGCGAGTGTAAGCCAACTATGTATCTCCCCTTTATTATTTATATTACATGGGATGTTGTGAAGATTGCCTAACTTGCGACATTGCTTTCAATGCGGTTATGTCTCTAAGTCGTGCCTCGACACGTGGGAGCTATAGCCGCATCGAGGGCGTTACAGGCGGCTCGGGTGACCTAACCCCCCCTGCCGCCGCCACCGCCCTCCTGCTCCCTCCCCCTCGCTGTCGTCGAGCGTCCCCGCCGGGCAAAGCCCGTGCGGTTGCCGCCGGCGGCGGGCCTTTCTTCTCCCGTCACGCATGGAGGTCAGCCCTGGATGGCGCGCCGTGCGACGCGGAGCTGCGCGCCGGCATGGATCTGGCCCTCCGGCCTCTTCTATGGCGCGGTGGCGCTGGATGCTGGGGCGGTGGCCCTAGGGAGCGGCGGTCCCCTCCTCTCTTCCTCGCGGTGGAGGAGCGGCGGCTGACCGTTTTGGCGGCGGATCGGGGCGTTCTGCTCGGATCTGGTGGGCGCGCACCGTCGACGGGATGTGGCGGTGCTGGCCGTCCTGGGCCGCGTGGGTGGTAGGGCGGCTGCGCGTGGTGGAGGCCCCGGCGCCTCTGGCCCTTGGCGGCATGGAGGGCCTGGGTTGGGTCGGCGCCATGTGTGGGTTGCCCTCCGGACAGATTTGATCTGGCCAGTGCGACCTCAATGTGCGGCGGCTCAGATCGGCGGCGACCCGTGCACATGATGCTGGACGGCGGTTCCTTCAGCGGATCAGGGTGAAAAACTAGTTCTTGGCTTGATGCCAAGACCGATGTTGGCGGCACTTTCTCGTGTCATTACCTTCTTGAAGGCCTCGCCGTGGAGAAGCTCCAGACCTCTATCCGCTACCTCCGGGGGAAACCCTAGATCAGTTGATCAGAGGACGGCGGCGCATTGGTGTCATTTTCTCCTTGGGGGCGTCATTCTTGGAGGCGTACACGGGTTCGAGGGACCAGTGAGCGGTTTTTTGGTGAAGCGGTGCTTCATCCTGCACATTGATGACGGCGGATCTCGGCGGCGTGGTGCAGTGGAGACTCGGCGCCCGATGCGCGGTGCTGGACTCGCGCAGGAGGAGGTTGCTGTCTGGCGTCATGGTGACGTCGATGGCAGAGTGGCCAGACAAGGTAGAAGCCTCAATATGATCTGAAGACATGTGGAAGATGGCGGCGACGACACACGAGTGCGTCTGACCGGATTGTGTCCCAGACCCGGTATGTGGCTCGGCTGGGGCTTCCGAATGAGTTTCGGCTTCCGGCTTTTGATGTTAGGCTTAGGTGAGTGGTTTGGGTAGTGGCCCAGCTAGCACCCCTTCATCATATTGGATAGGAGTAGCGGCATATGTTGCCAAAATGGTGGATTCAGGCACATTGTTGTAATACTTTGTAAGGTCCTTAAGAATAATCAATAAAGTGGCCGTATGCATTTCCCAGATGCAGAGGCCGGGGGTCATCCTTCTTTTCTAAAAAAAAAATTTGTTTTGTAGGCCGGTTTGGATCTAGGTTCCTATTTGCATGCTTTCTTATATAAAATGAGTTGATGAATGATGCTCCACTTCTGTGTGCATCGATCGATGCAGAGGCTAGGGGTTGTGTCTCTGTTTCAAGAATACAGTTCACCTTGATTTCCCATTCATGGGACAGTATGAAGATTCACATAACCCACTAACGATGGATAGCAATGACCGTGGTTCAGCAGAATATTGTCGAAAGGGGCATTGTTTTCAGTCCCGGGTCGATGATGCAGAGTTTCCTGATTCTAAATTTCTAACACCAAAAGAGGATATATGTACTACAAGCCTTGCAAATGACTCATGTTCCTCTTATCTGTTCTTTGGACAACATGGTGCCAAGTTACATTTGTTTGCTGGAACCTGTTCTTACATATGTTTGTTGATTATTTATTTATTTATGCCTTACAGCAGCTTACTAGTACATATTTCTTACAAGAGGTTCGTTACAGTTTCTTTGGACTTTTACAAGATCCAAGCCTAGACAAATCTCTATTACCACTCCTAAATAACTTGGTCCTCTTCACACTTCACATGTCATACACCACAGCTGCGTTGTCCTGGAGAACCGAGCTGGTTTCAGGGGCGAAGTCCCAGCAGTGCACAGGGGACTTGCCCTGATCATAGCTCCACCAGTCCACACCCCCTTGCTGCGTGACGACGCTGTCGGTCGTCGTCGTCGTCGTAGTGCTGTAGAGAAGCTCCTGAAGCTCGGCTTCGATAGTGACCATGTTGGAGTTGCCCGCGCTCGACGGCGAGGCCAGGCCGTCTGCGGCGGCTGCCATCTCCAGCTGCTGCTGTCCGCCGAGGTGCTGATCGTTCAGAGAGCTGGACTGCCCCTGCTCAGCAGCTACTGTTACATCCAAGCTGCTGCTGCGGCTGCTGTTGCTGTTGTTGTTACTGTTGTTACTGTAAGTGGCGGCTATCTGATGATGGCTGCCAGGCTGCCACAGGTGCAAGGGGTTGTTGTGGTTGCCGATGCTGCTGAGGGGGTTCTGCATTTCCTGCAGCTGCATGCAGAGCTGGATCCTCTCCATCGCCGACGCGCTCAGCGGCTGCTGCTCGTCGTCATTGTTGGCGCCGTCCAGCTCGCCCTGGCGGTGTTGCTGTGTGCTGGCGCCGCGGTCCTTGCCGCGGCCGCCGAGGAGCCGCTTCTTGAGCTTGGTGTTCCAGTAGTTCTTGACGTCGTTGTCGGTCCTTCCCGGCAGCTGTGCGGCGATGATTGACCACCTGGTTGGTTAATCATGGCGCACTGGATTAGCACAAACATTTGTGTTGCGGTTTGTGGAGACTAACATTAGTGGGTTAGTTTGGTGTTTGTATGTGTACCTGCTTCCGATGCTAATGTAGAGCTTGCAGATGGTGCTGTCCTCCTCTGGGGTGAAGTCCCCGTGCTTTATGTTGGGCCTCAGGTAGTTGAGCCACCTCAGCCTGCAGCTCTTGCCGCACCTCTTCAGCCCTGTTAAGTTCCCACGCAGATATGTAAACTTAGTTAACCACAAATGATTGATGAAAAATGCCTGGAAATTCCAAGATGAGAAAAGCTAAAGATGCTTGGATTATGAACATATATCTAGGGAGATAATTACCAATCTTGTGTGGCAGTGCAATCCAGTTGTTGCCGGTGCCACGCTCCTCAATGTAGGCCTTGAGCATCGCGTCCTCCTCCGGCGACCATGGCCCCCTCTTCACCGTCGCCTTGTCGCAGCACGGCGCCCTCCCCATTGAAGTTGTGTGTGTGTGTGTGTGAGCCTGTGTTGTGTTGTGTTTGCCTTGCGTTGTGAGTTGATTGGGTTGAGTTGGTTTGGGTGATGTGGGATGCGCGGGAGGAGGGATTTATAGGAGCAGATGAGAGGGACTGATAGAATATACGGATATGGTTTGACTCGGTGATATGCGCTGCTGATGACATGACACCTGCCGGCGCTTCTCGTGTACTCCTACTTTGGAAGCCCTTTTATTGTTGCCTTGGCCGGCCACCTATGCTGCTCATGCAGAAAGTGTGTGCTATGATTTCTGTTAATCGCTAAGAGGCACTGGAATCAAGGCATCGAGTCACTGAGCAGACGGGGAGTGTAACACCACCTGTACGTTGAAAACCAGCTCCTGTGAACGTAATTAGATTTACTAGTAGGAATGTAGGGTCTAGAGTGTAGAGTGACCACTTTACCGCATCAACGAAACACGCCCAAGGATAAGAATGTAATGCAATCTCCTCATTTCCTGTTTGTCTCCGAGCATCCTTTAGAATCACATGGCAAGGAGATATGCATGACTGCAATGAGCTAATCAATCCATTTTGGATCAGTCCTTGATGCAACCCTCGGCTAGTGAAAGGTACTCCCTCCGTTTCAAAAATATAAGGTGTATTAATTTTCAAAAGTGGCTACATGCATCGTCCAGATACAGAGGCCAGGGGTCATCCTTTTTATTTTTTTTTCAAAAGTTAACTTTTTACGGTTTGACAAAGTTTATAGAGGAAATAGTCAACAACCACGATAAAAAATCACTATCATTAGATTCATCATGAAATGCATTTTCATATTTCGTTTACTTCATATTGTAGGTGTTCATACTTTTTCTTAAAAACTTGGTCAAGCATAGGCCTGCCGGATCTAGCGTGATGCACTGGTTGTTGGCTCGATTGTGGGGAGGTTGTGCGAGACGCGGCACTCCTCCGCCTCACCATGGCCGGTGAATGCCAGCAAGACCAAATCTGGCTCGACCGAGGGCCGGATTGAGGCCATTGTAGGATGGCATTTGGGCGGTGCGAGCACAGCTAACATCAGCGAGACAACAGTGCATCAATGATCAAAAGTGATGCGATGGCGTCTTCCTTCCAATGGTTTCTTTCTTGTCAAACTAGTTCTGTGCGAGCACTTGTAAGCGGGACCCACCTGTCAGGAATAATGTCAATGGAGTCAAATAATGGATTAAAGCAAGCTGCAATGGATTACACCAGTCGGTGTTTTGCGTAACAAACCCAAAGAGTAGATGTTCTGTGCAAAAGCAACCCCAATAGTTGATGGTTTGTGCAATTTCATGATGGCGACTATGGTGGTTGACGGAACGTTGTATTATCTCCGAGGGTATACTCACAATCGAGCCTTCTAGCTTGACCAAGCAGCATCCACGTCTGTGCATCATTAATTTAATGAAGGTGTTGGTTTGAAGCTCTGCTTCAGGGCGATAGCCATTGATCTGACGTGCGAGTGGCGATTCCTTTTTCCAGGCATTGACGCATTGTCTTAGATGTTACGCCCTTAGTTATCTTCCCAAATGTTGTATTGGTTAGCGGTCATAGAATTTTTGGTAGGATTTTGGAGATGTTGCCACGAGACACGTCCTATGTTGATGGGCAATGGCCTTGGGTTTTCTTTTCTATGTTTTAAATGATTTGTTGGCATTGGGTTCAATGATAAATAATATATAGATTTGTGCATCAATCGCCATGCCGAGGGTTTTCCACCTTGTCGAAAAAAGTGCAAGGGATAGCTTATGTCGTAAAATCTCATCTTAGACAATCTTTACTAATGCCAGTAAATTTACTGTTGTAACATGTAGAAAATATGCGCTCAAACCTACTAATATGTAAAGAGGAGAGTTCATGGCAGTCCCAAATGGAGCCTAGTTCTCACTCTCTTTCTTGATTTGCCCCATGTTATAGACAAGCCAAAATTCCAAACATTTATATCAGCTCAGGTTTTCAATATATTGTGACCTCATAAAATCAGTGTGTTATCTTTGAACAAAACACTCCTGCTCCTACATGAAACTACAGATCAAGTGCACTCAATTATTACCATGGGAGACAAAAGTGCATAGCGTCACCAATAATGTACCTACCAAGTACTCCCATACACTATGGGAGTACTTTGGAAGGACAAGTGTACTCTACAATCCATATGCCGCGTAAAGAGATAACAATTCAAGATTGTGACCCTAGACTAGTCCAAGTCCTCCATGCAGTTATTTCTGTACTACCCCTCCTCCCAGGTCAAGAACCCTAACTTGGGCCGACTGGACCATGGTGGAAAGCAGGTACATAGTACTAGGCTGACCTGCCAAAAGTCCATGGGCAGTTGTAACTGACAATGCAGCCGCATCCTTGTGGATGGTGTCATCCATTTTGACCCTCAATAACAGTAGTACAGAAGAAATTGCCCCTTTCTGTCATGTCAATCCTTACGTGTGCAAGCAATCATGCTGTACTTCAAACTCCTTCTCTTTTGCACACCTATGTGAGATCATGGAAGGCAGTGTTAGAATATTGTGCATGGAGCATGCAACTTTGTGCTTATGTTAGTAGGTCATTGACCTTGTGTGGTTTATGTTCCTCCCTTTTCGCCGGACAAAACAAATGGTCATTGCATCTTGGGGTGGGTGGTCTTAGAGTGGGTTCTTGTTGTGTTCTGATCAAGATACAAGTGAAAGTTATCAAACCTCTAATCCTCATCCAGCCAGCAAATAAAGTGAAAAACAAATAACTGTTCTACTAGCTGCACTTGCTAGAGCTGAACCACACTGTCCGTAGTACTGTCACTTGGAAGCCACATGTACACTTGTTCTGCATGCCATCTCGTCTGAATCTTCTATCTGGTCAGAGAGAAGCAGGCCAGGTCCGGGCATTAAGCGGGGGGAGAGGTACGCTTTTGACCAAGTGTACGAAGTTGTTGCAGCTTCAGTGGCCATAGTAGTATACTGATCTGTATCTTGCCAGCACAACAACAACGAACAATGGTGGAAGAAAAATATCGCATGGCCAACTTGAGACTGGGCGGATCCCAGATGGAGCTTAAGTTAGTAGGAAAAGATGCAGCATCACAACTCTGCCATTAGTCTCCAAGCAGAAGCAGCTCGCTTCGTCTGACGACCATGGAGTAGACTCACCTAAACAACCTGCAAAAACAAGGGCATCTAAGGCCTCCACCAAGATACTCTTGATTAACTAACCAAATTAACTAAGGCTATGCATGCTGCCCCTCTTGATTAATAATCTTTCTTCGGGGATAAGGTTGAGTTGACCACATTATTCGGGGAGGTAAGATAAGCTTGAGTGGTGCTGTTGGCTCATCAAGTTAACTGAACATGAAGAGCTTTAGTGCAAATGAGCAATGGACTATTTTCTTGTCCTAGAAAACATTGTGTATGCATGCCTTTTGACTAGCGTGTCCTTGATTGCTCTTTCTTCAGTTATGGATTATTGGCCGTGTACTTGCGTCTACGCGTGAATCGACCATGACATACTCCTGGATTTCTTCTGTCGGGGTTTCTTGGCTAAATTAAGTGCTGTTGGAGGCATTATCGAAGAAAAAGTGTTGTTGGAGGGAAAAGTGGTACTGTCCCAACTTCAGTTTTGCTGCTGGCACAACGTTTGTTGCAAATGAAGTGCCATCAATTTATATATAGCACACTTTCATGTGTCACCCATTTTTTCATAGAAATCATATTCTGTTTCTTAATTAACCTACATGAGAAGTAGCATTAAAAGCGAACTTTGTTGCGTCTGAAGCACCAAAGGTGAATTTTCTACTCCTATGAACAGTAAATTCGAAAAAAAAATACAAAACAAAATCAAGCAAATCTGAAATTTCAGGAGATGAAACATGATCAAACATTTGATGCTTTTGCAAAGTTTCAACCACAAAAAACTTTGTAGGGGCCCTCACAAAATATATCAGTGCTCAAAGTTTTGTGCACTTTTGAGCAGTAATTTTTTTGTGAGGGCTCCTCGAATTGTATTTGTGGCTGAAACTTTGCAAACACATCAAATGTTTGATGTCCTAAAATTTTAGAATTTTTTTCAGACCCGCTTCGGTACAACCACCCTCTAAAACGTATAAAGGGTAATATAGTCATTTCACATGTCGTACTTACTTCTGTATGTATATGTATGGTGTGTAGTCGTATACGTACAGGAGACCATCAGATTGGGCCGGCCCATGAAGATAGCGTATAGCAGCACTTCAAAAGTAAAAACGCGCTTGCAAGAGCTCGAATTGTATTTGTGGCTGAAACTTTGCAAAAACATCAAATGTTTGATCATGTTTCATCTCCTGAAATTTCAGAGCTCGGGTGCACCTACGCCCGGGAGCAACCACACCCCGCAGTTATCCCCAAGGGGAAATGCGCATGCGTGTTCCGATCAGGATATCCTGGGGAATACTGGGGCGCGCGCTTACTATAGCCATCACCATTGGGAGCGGCCCAGTCCAGCGGGGGTTGGGTGTCGTATACATGCTGACGAAAAAAAGATCATCACCAACTAAAAAGAATCAGAAAAGACCATCCTACCCTTTATTATGAAGAGGTATAAACAGATCTCCACCGTTGATGTGTTTACGGGGGTTGTACCGAAGAAGAAGTATTTTTTGTTTTATTTTTTTGAATTTACTGTTC